AGGTATCGGCTAGGCATACAGCAAACGTTTTAAGTTCGGGAATCAAACTCCATGCAGCTGTGTCTTGACAAACTACGAACACGACTTCTTGTGGCATTTCATCTTCTTAATCATTTTCTTACTGCCACTCGTCCTATTTGAAGTCATGTGAAATTGCCTACACAGTATGCAATCATCGGTGGGATCATAATTACAAAAGACTGTAAATGATTCACGGTCAACAATTACAACCTCAACGGCTTCCTCATAGGAACTGAGGTAGCGATGGGTGTAATCAAGTTCCTGGAAAGCCAGATAAGCCTGGATCTGTGGTGCTGGGGTCCAACTGACCACCAATCCGAGGAGAAAACCTGCATGTCATGCAAATGAAAAATTATACTGGCAATCAAGCTGGCTAATAAAGTGGATTCTGAATTAAAGTCTCCAGATCCTCAAATATAGAGGCTGAGTTTCCAATGAAGGATCTGGTACTTTTTTTTTTTTTTTAATTTACAGCCATTCTGGGTGTAAGCAAAAGCTCGAGCATGGGCTATCCATCTTGCTACACCTTGCAGCACAATTCATTGTGGTGCTTTACATGTCAAGCATTTTACTGGCTCCTTCTGTCGTTGCTGGATTACAGTGCTGAGCAGAGCTATAAGACGGGAGCCTTGAATGAGATGGTCCCAATAAATCCAGATCTCAGTGGAATAAGGAATACATGATCAAACGTCAAGGCAGAAAATGCCTGGAAGGGAAATAAAAAAAATTTTTTAAAAATCCCATTTTCCATTCCAGTAAATAGAGGCAGTCTATCTAGTGTGCTGCTTTTGGATCCAACATTGACATCTTTATTGCCTGTTCTTCTCGTTCTGCTGGGAAGCGTGGACATTGGAGAACACGAGAGGCTGGATGTACGCCGAAATACTACAAAACTAACCAGCCCAAATCCTAAAAGTCAAACCGCAGCGGAGACACTCGCCCACTCAGTGATGTTAAATTCTGATGTAAGTTATGGTAATGCGAGAGGTCTTCTTGATGTTGATAACGTGACACATCACACCGAGTGATGAAATCTCAATCTGGGTCTGAGTGTGCAGCAGAAAGGCGAAAAGACAAAACAAGCAGCAATAAACTCCTCCGTAAAGCAGCAAATGTGTCTTTTTCCACTTCTGGATCTGAGCTGGTAAAAAATCTCTCGCCTCAAATAGCCAGCTTGTCAAATCCATAATGGCGTAAGTGGGTTAGCATCAATTAGCATACCCTGAGGACTCCCCATTGTAATCATGAGCACTTAAATACTCTGTTTCAATTCTGAAGGGTGGTTTCCACACATTAGTCATGCGTCAATGTGCAGCCGGAGTCATTTCTCAGGGACCGACTTGAATAATTGAAAAACACAAAGTAAAATATGATTGCTTATTCAAAACAAAGCCTTGGATTAACTTAAAGATAAAACCAGCACATTATGTTTTTTTTTTTTAAATTCCAATTAAATCACCTTGATTTTGTATCTAGTCTTTATTTTAATGACGTGAACCAGTTCTCATTTCCATGCAAAAGTAGTGATTTTTAATGGGACGTCGTTACTGACTTGATCCTTCATGTTCACAGTCAGTTATGAACCCAATCCTACCTGCACAGAAACTCTGAATATAATCTTTTTTGGGGGACGGTAATTTCCAAAGATTACAAGTGGTTTTATAAGATACATTTTTAAACTAAAACTACAAGAATCTCTTCACATCCTGGCACTATGAAAACAATTTCAGGATTTCGGTTTTGCAATACAGAAACTTATGAGATCATTTGAAACTAAAATTAAATGGAAGTAAACAATAAAGGCTGGACGGTTTACCAAAATCCATGAAAACTAATATTCTTACAAAATTATTATTCTCATTTACATAACTCCTAATTGGCTTGTATTTTGTGATGACCTTAGACATAAACCCCGTAAAGAGTGAAGAATGTCTTATTTTTGACCTTACAAAAAGAAATGCCTCTGCCACATTGTTTAAAAAATACTAATATTATACACAGGGATCATTTCAGAAAGGCTTCCATCCACAACCCACACAAACTCGAGCCTAAACGTTGTTTTAAACACGCCAAACCTGCAGGGGGCAGTGTAGCGCAAAGCGATAATCTGCTTTGCCAACCAGACTGCTTCAAACAAACCACGACTTCCTGTTGGGAATTAAACAAAGCGCTGGGACGTTTACTTGTATTGACAAATATATTGGTTGAACTACTTTTAAATAGCGTATCAGAATAATTATTAACACACGAGGCGGCGTTCATTGAGAACTGTGGTTATATTGGCACGTTATGTGTCGCGGACTGGACCCCAAGTCTGTGTTTTCCCATGTAAACACACAAACACAAAAATGTGAGTTTTCTCAAATCTCCACCTTGGTCGGAGATTTGCATAAATAATTAGTTTTAGTGATATTTAAATAGAGTTTTCATGTGAATGACAGACCAAAACACATAAAAACATATTCCTTTTCCCAGACATCCAACTACATGCAGATCAGGCCTCATAGGTCTCTTTTAATCAGAATTTTATTTTCATGAAATATTTCTCAGCTGTATGATACGTACAGATGCTGCCAAAGTGCATCTTATGGCAAATCAGAAATTCTCCCACTGCCAACGTTGCAGTCCTAAAGCTCCTCGTTTTGGCTCTTCCTCTTATTAGAATATTGAATAGTCACTTGTGGATAGTTCTCATTCACTAACTGCACAATCATAAATACTGTATCACCCCGATTCCCTTCAGCATGCTTCCCTCCCTCTTCCAGAGAAACTAGAAACCAAACTTTGGCTTTTCATGTAAGATGGATTACAAGGCTGACTCCATGTATTATTTCATTGATTGAATTAATTTCTGCTCCCCTTCCCCCTCTGCAGTGGTGTGCTATTTCAAAACTGCTTTTTCCTGGGAATTACGTAACTCAGAGGAGCCGCTTTATTCTGAGGTGAGCATAGATTTTTTTGTGTGTGTGGAGGATGGAGATTAGCTTCTAAAACTGTCCCCCCACCCCCATTTTCAATAGCAGCGCAACCACCCACTCTACCTCCATCTTTAGAGAGCAACACGAACCCCTCCCCAACCCGCCTCGAGCATCTGGAAGAAGCGCTGTTGACTCGGATGTACGCGCGGTACTCCACGTGGCCTCGGCAGGAGGCTTGCATTACAGAAACAAAACTCGGGCAGATCAGAAGGACATTTACGTCCCTGTGAAATCCCACACGGCGCTGCTTAAAGCTCAGGGACCCCGGGCACCTCATCAAAAGAATTTACGAGAACGTGTTGCCTAAAAAGCGTCAGACAGGAACTGCACTTGTTGAAAATAAAAACTCACTCGTTAGCCCTTCTTCTGATCAAAACAGCAGGTGCCTTAGGGAAACCGAGGGGGGAGGGAGAGACAGGACCGAATACACACGCAGACGCTTACGCACAGCTCCATCTGAGCGGCACGGCTCGCCCATCTGGAAGAGGAAACTGACCACAGGCGATCCGCGATGTCGAAAGATTCACCTTACAAAGTCGTCCAAAAGCGGGATCAAAGCGCTGTGGCTTAGCTCTGATGTTTAAACCACAGAGAGGAACGCGGAGAACTTTTCTGAGCACTGTTTGTACGGCAAATTTTGATCTTTTTTTTTTTTCATCCTGAGAAGAGAAAATAAAAAATTGTCCAGAGAGAGAGAGATCTAGACTATAAGGCCCTATCAGGTTTGTGAAGCATAATTATTTTTGCAACAAGACGTTACAAAACTGATTTTAAATTTCTCTATTTTCTTAAACACCTTTAAGTTTTTGTGAGGTTGACGTTTGTCATAAATGAAAGACCCACTAATCCATGATCACTGGGTTGTTTGGTAACTGAGGTAAGGCTGTTCTCCAAAACAATAGCTTGCTGACTGCTTTCTGTTGGGTAAAACTAATCATTGTTTTTATCAATTTATTTGAGTGTTTTATCTAAATGTGTTCAGTTACCCAACTGGCTCTGACCAGTTATTCTTTAAGGTTCTTTCTTTATTTATGATGTAATCTCCCACTCAAGGGGTCCATCTGTTCTGTTATCTCAGCATTGTTTCACTGAAGAAGGTCATCATAAAATTCCCAACCAGAGTTGAGCAGAGCTCACCAATCTTTGATCCCGAGCGGGTTAGAGGTTGTGGATCTCTCCATTTGAAAAGGAAGGCATAAAAACCTCATTGGTCTTGTGTCTGGTTCTTAACAGGTCTTGAGCCAATTTTTAAAAAAACCAACACTTTCCATGGTACAAAACAACTGAACTAGTCATTACAGCTTCACACAAGCCCCGACCTTATTAAACAAATCCTATTTTTATCAAATAAGATAAGAAAAAATGCTATAAATAAACTGAAGTGGATTTACTTTATTACAAGAGAAATAAAGAAAATACAAGAAAATTATATATATATATATATAAATCTTGGACATTTTTAAGCCCCTCCGTCATTTGACAGGCTATAATTAATACCCCTGACTGTTGCACATGGGCAGACATTATAGACTTTATGCAAAGAGTTCATCCCAGAGGCAACTAAAATCAATCAATTAAAAAAATCCTCTCTAAATATCATCTCATGGACACTGAATTAAATGCGTCTTTCTCACCGGGAGCTCACAGCGTGTTGAAGAGTTATGGACAGGACACCTTGGTTAGGAAGCTCATTGCAAACCTTTAGTTGAAATGGCGCCTTTAACTCCAGCCTCCAGTACAGAACAGAGAAAACTAAAGAGAATGCAAAGTATTAAGCTTAACTCGCCCTGCAGTTTTAACAAAAGGAGGTGAAGATGTTACCCTCCCGCACCCAGAAGGTGAGCGATGCTCAGAAGCGCGGCAGACATAACATCTGTCCGTTTTGGAGAAGCGAAACCATGAAAAAAAGAAAAAGAAAAAAAAGAAAAAGAAAAAAAATCCTTGGAAAAAACTCACGGCCGAACCACGCACAGGGTAGAAAAAAAAAAAAACTCGCAGAGTTCAGTTGTTCGGTTTGGTTCAGACAGATCCAACTGACAGATGAACCAGCGCGGATTTCTCTGCAGATGCGACCAGGAAGAATTTGTGAGCCTGTGCGTTCAGACCCCAGCGGGTTTAGTGCTGGTAATTTCATTTAATTTATTATAAGTTATTGGAGCCACAGTCAGTGGTTTGTGTCATTACAGAGAAGAAGTTAGGTACATTTATCTGCTTTATGTGTGATGGGATCTGGATTCAATTAGGTGAATATTAAGTAAATCGCATAAAAATGCGGCTAAATAGTCTATGTTAATATGTTTTGACAGGAAATTTGACAGGTAAAAATAGTTACCTGTCGGACCAGAATTATTTGCCTGATGGTGGCTCAGGCTTTTAATGAGTTTGCAGCACACAGAGAAACACTTAAGAGAATGTGTGATCTAGTTGTGTTGATCTACTTATTGTAGTTTAAATAGAGGAATAGCAGCTGACTGGTGAGGGAGGAAAGAAATGAAAGCGCTGAAGTCCGTTAGTCAGAAACAAGCGCAGCGCACAGGGCAATAAATGCGCATAAATGCTCCACCGTTACGCTCCAATTAATCACACATGAGATGACAATCGACAAATATACAATATATAGTTACGCTGCTCACGTTAATGGTGTTTTCAAAACAAAACCAGTAAAAACTTAACTGAGTATGTCAGATTCCCTCCTCAGCCTCGTCTTGATAAGAACAGAGAGCAGTCCGCTGGTTTCGTGTCCAGACTGTAATAAAGCGCAGCTGACCACTTGGTGTGCAGGCAGTTTCAACTTTACGCACAGAGAACGTCGTGGAGCTCATTATTAACCATACTAAGAACCATATCGATCAGAGTATCACCTCTGATCTGGACGCTTTAACGGACCAGAGGCTTTGGAGCGTCCAGCGCAGCTGATCCGCTTCTGCGGGGTTTTTCTCCCGCAGGCCGAGAGAAGTGATGCGGGATCAGGAAACGATCAGACTTCTGCCGTCTTCTAATCACGTCATTTGGTGAAATGTTACCTGATTTCAAAAACGTTCTCGCAGAGAAATACTAAATGCTTCGTTTGATGACTACAAATTGGAAATAAAATGATTTTTTTCTTTGACGGACAACGATTTTTTTTTTTTTTTTAGAGGATCAGTAAATAACTTATTGGTGTTTTACCATCACCACCAGGTATGAAGTGTGAGTAGCAACACAGCGCAGCACAACTGAAACATCCAGGAGAACAATTTCAGCTTGTTTTTATGAGTACAAGTATAAAGGAGGCTGGTGTCGTGTCTGATATAAATCTATTTATATATATCATCACATGGACTTATATAAAGTTATATACATTTTCTTTTCATATATGTATTATTTATTATTATTTTTCTTCTTTAGATATTAAGTTGGCTTAGAATGATTCCAAATAATGTACAGGAATGACCTGGTGCTGTTACATGTCAATCATCAGATGGGGCCACTGGGGAGGCCAATCAGATGACAGGGATGAGGGGTCATCAATAGTAACAATGGTTACCATGGTAACAGCATCGACTAAAAGTTGGTCCTGCAGTTAAAACTTTTCAGTGAAATTCTAGACATTGTCTTTGCGGAGCTGTTCTGAATTTTAAATCCTTCCAGCAATCAACAAAAAATATTTATTACTGCACCATGCAAAGCAGTGACTTTTGGTGAATAGCACTTTTAATTGTGTCTCATAACCTGGACAATTTCATATTTGACCTTTAACTATCTTCCATGCCAAGGATACGTTAAGTTGGTGTTTCACTTTTTAAATTAAACCGTCTAAATCGTGTTACACAGTTTTACACTTTTACAAAGCAGCAAAAATGTTAGGTTTCTATGGCCTGTGCCTGAATTCTACCGCAACAGATGGGAAAAAAAAAAACTGTCTGAAGATGAAATACTGAGAATGCAAGAAGCTGCATCAACAGAAGACGAATCCCGACAAACCAAAAAGGATCCAACAATCTGTGTTGAACATTCCTGCAACAAATGTCAAAACACTTAGCACCAAATCTCCTGAACATTCGACAGGTCAGAGCTGTTCTGACCGCCATTTTAACAAACGATGATTCATGCGGTATGACATCTGCATATAAATCTTCATGCTGCATGAAAGTTGGATGGTTGGGTGAGGTTTCAATTTTATTAATCTAACGTTTAAGTACAACTATTACTTTCCCCATCATGTAAGCCTCTCAACTCGCAGTGCTTAACATTCTTCAGTTGAACTACCAATTTAAGACTAAATTTAGGAACGTTTTGGATCGCTCCGCGATCGGAGTGACGCTCCGGACAAGCAGTCACCATCGGGAGCCAGAAGAAGGGAGGTCTTGGTTCCCTGCCAGAGGCGCTCTTCTCCCTCCTTCTGTTCTGCTTAGTCAGTACCAGACAGGAGAGAGGAGCCGCACAAAATGTGTTTGCACATGTCATTCATGAGGTTACCCAGACGGTAGCTGTGAGATGCGTGAGGGAAAGGAAAGAAGCAGAAAATGGAAAAAAAGAAATGCCCAAGCTGTTTTTACTTGTGATTTTTTTTCCTTAATCTAGCAGCATTTACATTTCTGGCAAAGAAGCAATCCGGCACTTCAGGTGAGCGTCAGCATTCACACACACACAAATGTTCCCTCTTAAATCAGCACAGGTGAACGGGCATCGAATCCAGCAGCTCAGATAACTCACTGCCTTTTATCTAAATCAAACGGCATACGCTTTGGCTCGCTATGAAAGTTTTGGTTGAACCAGATCTTCTTTTTTTTTTAAACGGAGAGCAACTGCGTCGCTGTGTTTCCGTGCATCTGCAAGGAGATGCGGGTCTTTGCCCATATAGTTCCACATTTATAGAAGCTGGAGGGGGGGGGGGGGAAAAGCCCTCCGAAAGAAGGACAGGGAATATTGAGATGGTTCGTTCGAAGGCTTGCACATCAGTCTTTCTGGTCTTTGATCTTAACGACGGTTGTTCGTAAGCTCTCCGGTTCACACTCACTAGTGTCATTTAAATTCACAGAATTGATCTGAGCCAAGTCACTCAAACACCCTGCCTTTATATTTATATATCTAAAGGCTAATTGTTGATGGTTAACCACTTCCCGGGTAAATACACTTCTCTGGAATAGTTGGAATGATTTTAGGAAAACCTGTGACTGCAGTATTGTAGTGCATAGGTGTCAAATCCAGGCCAAATTTGGCCCTGCAGTGTAATTATATTTGGCTCACAAGATCATTCTGACTGTAGCCGGCCTGCTGCTAGGCAGCACACATGCATCACTAATAATACTGAAAAATCCCAGAGTGCTCTGCAGGTGTGTTGGCACCTCAATCGGGACCCTCAAACCATCCTTCCTCTGTCGACATTCAATGTCATTATGCCAGGTATCTGGTCCAAGCCAGACATGTTTGAGTGTGGAAAAATGAGCCTTAGTGAATGTTTTCTTAATGCTACATTTTCGCTGAATTTAATTATTACTACTAGCCTCTGGGAAAAAAAGGCTGACACCGAAATTCAACCTGTATTGCGACAAACAGGGGACGATGCATGATATTTCTTTTTAAATTAGCAAGAGGAGCAATGTGATGATTTCCTGGAGGCGGAGTTTCAGAGAGAGCAGGAGTTTTTAAAGAGACACAGTTTGTTAAATTTCGAAATCAAATTTCTTTTAAGTCATATTTGATATACACAGCATTTTTAGAACAACTGGAGTTAACATAGTTACTTCATTGTGCTATAAAACGGCACTACATGCCTGGAAAACACATAATGCTGCCCCTTAAATATGTAGGAATATACACCTATTAAACCCACGTTGTACCATAGCAGAAGCTAATGTCTCCATGCAGCTTCTGTGACTTGCAAATGCCAACCAATAGCATGTCAAATAACTTTGTGGCTATAGGGATTTCAGCTTCCCAAGCTGCATTTTTTTTTTTTTCAAATATTTTATATTTTATAGTGCAATAAAAAAAATCTATAAAAGGATTTTTCAGGAATAATTTGGAGTCACTCTCCGAAAAATCTGCAACTAGAATACTGAATGGTAGTGAGGCAGGAGTCCTCCGTACTTCAGATAATTCCAGTTATCTTATTGAGTGAAGGAAACGTGTTTCAGCCTTTTTATAGCCAGCAGGACAACAGGCCTGGAAAAGGGAAACTTCATTACAGACACCCAAAACAAAAAACACCAGTGGTACTGGAGCTTTTGCTTGAGTTTTATTAAAAACATTTAAACCATGAGCTTTTTTAAAATATATATATGTCAAATTTTGGCCAGATTGAAAACTTCAGAAAACCTTGATAACAATCACGGGCCCATTTGTGGTTTGGTTGGTATGAAAAACTTCCCACCTTTCTATAGATGTGGTGTTTATTTGTTTGTTTATTTTCTAACTTTTTGAAAAACTGATTTTCAGCTGGTATGAAGTAAAGCTGGAACAAAAAAAAAAACTTCCTTTATAACGATTTCCCAGGCAGCACAGGATTCTTCTTTTTTTTTTCTGGGGTCTTAAACTTTGACACATTTACGCATTATACTTCAACTTCCCGATCCCCGTGACCAGTAACAGGAACCAAGAGGACGGCGTGGAAGTTCAATTGTTTTGGCCTTACATGCCCACAAAATATCTACACAGAACATAGGAAGAGCCAGGTTTTTTGGCCTCGTGTATAAAAGTTTAAGATCCACTGGGACTACAGTTTTTTTTTTCTTACAACATGAATGCACCTTTTATTCTCCCGTTACACATTAAATAATATTTGAATTTTCAGACAGAGAACAACCGGTGTGATGTTGATGTGACTGTTTCCTCTTCCTGTTTCCTGCTGCTGAATCTGGAGATGAGTCAGTCCCCATGAGAGTCCCTTCTACACACACTCACAACAGAAAACAGCACAAACACATGGAGAAACCTCTTATTTCCATGTTTTTGCTAAAGACATGAATGTGGCATTTTGAATGTTGCAAAATATGCTGTGAGAAGAGGTTTTTTCTTTTCTTCTTTTTTTTAACCTTTCTGTGAGAACTGTATGTAGGAAAATGGAGGTTATTATTTTTTTTTTTTTCCAATTCCTACATGACTCCCTTCACACCGCTGCCTTTACACCAGTTGAGATCAGTTCACGCATTTATTTGAATGCTTATGAAATGTGAACACGGCAAAGACTTTGCAAGAAGTGACTTCAGTTAAACCGTTTTGCTAAGCGTGCAGTAGTTCGGCTGGTAGTGGGTCGTTAAGCTGGTTTTAGATGTAGTTCTTCCACAGGTTTCGAAAAAGAAAAAAGCATTTGAGCACTGACTTTAGCAATTACCATTTACAAACCAGTACAAGTCAACTGGTTCATTTTCTCGAGGAATAGAGGGGAAAAAAGCATGCCTTTGGAACTGATGTTTTGTTCAACAGTACGCAAAATTCATAGATTAATAGATGCATGTTTTAAGGTTATGTTTCTGTGTTAAACTGGTATGAAGAGAAAATAACTATGTGTTTATTGCAGAAAATTAAAAAGTGGTGAGTATTTGGATTGACTGGAGAATTGGGCAATCCTTGGGTATAGACCAGTGGTTCTTAACCTTTTTTGAGGTACCGAACCCACCAGTTTCATATGCGCATTCACTGAACCCTTCTGTAGTGATAAATAAAATATGATTTTTTTTTTCCCCAAATTTAAAACATCTAAGATCACTAAGTCTTCTTAAAAGGTAGAGTCTCTGAGAACAGTTCTTCAAAATATAGTCGGTGTTTTCAGCAAAGTTGAGCTGACTGTCCAGGAACGACCCAAGGTATTTAAAATGTGCCACAGTTTCAACAGGTTGGCCATCGAGAGAAACTGGAACCACTTTAAGGTCTTATTTAGATCATTTAATTAGCTCTACATTCTTAAGAGAATGAAAAATGAATAATAAATAATAAAGACTTTGCGGTATTCTGATTTAGTAATGCAATTATATTAGTTGTGTTACCACCCCCACGCCACTAGAGGCAGTAGCAGGCCAGAAAAGATGNCCCCGAGTCCGCTGCCGGAGCGCAGCCCCCAGAGTTTCCCCGAGTCCGCTGCCGGAGCGCAGCCCGTTCCAGAGTTTCCCCGAGTCCGCTGCCGGAGCGCAGCCCGTTCCAGAGTTTCCCGAGTCCGCTGCCGGTGCGCAGCCCCCTGATCTCCCGCCTCCAGAGCGTGCTCCGTCCGA